CCACTCTGGCGGGTGTGGAGGGGTTCGTTGCCCAACAAACCCACTCCCTCCTATTGTTACTCAACCACCGAGCATCCCGACACCTTCTGGCCGTCCATCGGTTTGATGACCCGGATCGACGGTGGGAAATGATAGTTCCACAAAAGCATCGTTTCCCACCGTCAGCTTTCCTCGTTGGCCTAGGGCATCTCCACCTCCTCTAGGGACGTCCAGGAGACCTCTCCCCATCCCGTTGAGGTGGTTTTGGCGCCCGTCAACCCCCGTGCTCCTCCTCTAGGACCGCCTCTCGAAAATTGTAGAATCACTAGGAGGCCACTTTGGCGGGTTTGGAGGAGTTCGTTGCCCACCAAACCCACTCCCTCATACTGCCGCACACCCACCAAGCATCCTGACACCTTTGGGCCGCCCATCGACCTGACGGTTTGATCGATGATGGGAAACAATGGTTCTACAAAAGCACTATTTCCCACTTTCGGCCTTCCCCGTTGGGCAGGGGCGTCTTCGCCTCCTCTATGGACGTCCAAGAGACTTCTCCCCACCCCGTTGACGTGGTTCTACCACCCATCTACCCCGTGTCCCCTCCGGGACCACATCTCGAAAATGGTAGAATCAATCGGTGGTCGCTCTAACGGGTGCAGAGGGGTTCACTGCCCACCAAATCCTTCATACTTGTTATTTCACATTTCTTTGTGCCACTACCTGTTAAGCAAAGATTTGATCACAAGTCACACCACACACACAATTGGACAACACTGCTATGAGATAAGGTTTCACCAGGCAATATAAAAAATTTTGCGTTACTTTAACGCATTCATATGTAAATTTACATAGTTAGATCTGCTCAATCGTTAGCTCTGTACAAAAATTTACATTGTTAATATCTGCTCACACTGGTCAGATGAGAGAAAGCAAAAATAAAAAGGTTTTCAATCATCCTCATAACATGTGCAATTCATGGGATATGGTTTCGGATGAGTTGAGCTCCTATCTGCCACCTAATAGCGTCGATCATTCCCTACATCAAATGTATTATATGTTAGTACTAACGAGAGACATTTAGGTATGTTTTAACAAACAGAATTCACGTGTACTCACTAGATCAAAGTCAAAATCTGCACCTAGGGCGATGCAATCCATATACTTCATCACAAATACCCCACACTCGCTATCACTGTACAAAACATGCATCACTTTTTGACTCAATAACTGTTATACAAGTACCCCGCCTACACCTAAGCTTTGAACATATAACACGTACCCAACTTGTTGGGGGGCTGACTCTGGGAATTCAAACGGCTAACCGGTGATCTTGGGAACAAATGGTGCCAATTTTTCTCTCAAACTTGCTTGCTGCCAGATAACGTGAAATCGAATAGACACATGGGCAATCCGACTCATTATCTTATAGTCAATTAGTAGTGTAAAAATCAACTCATGATACATACCATGGATCTTGCATAAGCGTTGTGGCAGTTGTTGTTTAGGGAACTGTAAGCTTTGGTTTTTTGGTTCAACATATCCACCACTAGTAGCTGCCAGTGTGATCCATCGGATAATGGTATTAAAATCTTATTGTATGTCAATATTTCATTAGGCTTTAGCCACTGAAACAGAACATTGTGGCGGACACCTGAGAAATACAACTACATTACAAACAAACAACATTAGGATTATATCACAAAATGCATCACTAGCATATGGATTTCAGTCACATTGCAATCAACAACCCATACCAATGTCATTAAAGACATATTGCATATCTTGATGGTGTTGGTGGTTCTTGCCATCAACAAGAACCCTACGCATCTATGACCTACACAACCAAACATGTCAAATAATCCACATTGCCATTTAGCCTTATACGACATGCAACACTCCCCAAAACCAAATCAATACCTCATCTTACGCTCATGCTTCCAGGTTGAAGAGGGGCAATAGGTAATCTAGGGTAAAAAATACAATACCTTTGCTCCATACCAATTTTTCGCTGCCATAACCATTAATCAACTTCATTACATAAGAAAAAAATAACTATTTAGACAAAATCTAGTTTAAAGCAAATCAATTAAATGGACACAATCTAGTATACAATCATGTGCACTTGCCTTCTCTTGGAGTTGTTCAAGAACTGTTTCACAATTGTCAAGTCCTCCTTTGGGAGGGAGTCCATCTTAAAAGAAGTCCACATGGATCGTGCATCCATCGACTGCAACAAATACTCCACTAGTCACTAAACCACTAAACAATTCAACCCCAAACACAATAACCAAATCAACCCTACAGACAACACCGAGACAACACCAATGGTTATCATTTCACCTTCCCCCTTCACTATTCTTTAGGACCCTATAGCAATAGCAAACTCTTTCGCTACCTGTCCTTGCTTCCAAGAGCTAGGTAGGGTGACACCACCGTGCTGCTTTGCTTTCACTCTCTCCTTGCATGGGGAAACTTACGTTTGTAAGTAGAGGCAATGGAGGGAGAGATTAACAATCTCACCAGATGGGGCTACAACATTAGTCCTTTCAGGAGATTGCTCTACCCCTGTTGTGTCACATGTAACTCTAGCAGGCAAGTTTGCACCATAATCATCATCGTCTGGCACGCAGGTTGCCAAACCTACCAGCCCCTCAGTAAATGGTACTGCATCTGGGTCTAACCCATTATTTCTCAGCATTCTATGGAGCCTATTAACTTCATCATGAAGTGCCTCATTTTGCTTTCTTCTCGAGGTGTACTCATTGAACTCCGTACAAAGAATTTGATATTCCATAGATTCCACGTAGGATTTGCAAAATCCCTAAAACATCATGTTAGAAGTTGGTTAAGAAATCACAATAATACCAGTAAGTCAACTTGTATATAATGCTCATAATACCGTTTGCCCCCTCCGACTCCACTAGTGACCAACATCCTCTCTATTAGAAAATGGTTTATCATCCACACTATGGCCCCCTGGGTCCACAAACTGCATATGAACACCAAATGTTAATTACTACCATGTACTTGAGTCACATAAAGGACTCCATTGAAAAGAAAAAAATAATATCATTAATTCAACTTACACAACCCTCTAACTAAACCTCCACTAAGGCCACCTCCTTGCTAGTTGGGTTCAAAACCTCAATAACCTTTAACCGGTTTCCACTGATACCCCATGTTCCCCCACTTAAACAAATGAGGATTGGCATTGGAAATTGAATGACTGAATAGAATTGTGTGCTCGTAAAGCAATGCCTACAAAAAGCAATCAACCAATAAGCGATCCTTAATTGAATGAGATTAACATAAAGTATATAAAAAAAAATGAATGTCATCCACATTAACTAACAACACAGCGCTGCATCCAAATAGGTATCTGCTATATGAGGATGAGCCTCTGATCGATCCAGCACCACAACCAGAAACAAACTGATCAAGACCACCGACCAAGAATTCATGTACACATTTACCCCAAGCATAACCACTGATACGTTGTAAATCATCAACATATCCAGCCGAGAAGGAGCTCACCCTCGAACTGCCTTGGGGAAACAACACATAACCGAATAAGAACAAAATAATCAGCTTCACCATGTCCTCAATGTGCTCCACACCATCTAACAGAACATTCTTTTTTAGCCTACCCCACACTAGATCCAACTCTACAGAGGTAGAGTGATTTTTATCAAAGCCAAACAATTTTTTGAACAATCCACTACTAGGATGGCCTCAAAAGGGACGCCCACTACAGAGCTAGTCGAGTCCCTCGATTTTACTAAATAACTCAAAAGGGACGCCTCCACAGTCACTTGTGGCGAATCCAAGAAGTGTCCAAAGGGAGTCTGTTGGAGCCTTCTCTTGTGCTCCAAACTTAAGGACAAACTCTGCAACATCTCCCTAAATTGTTTTGTGGAGCACCTTGTCCCAACTTTGTCACCTAACATTTCCTATCAGGAATTTAACACCCTAACGTTAGCACAAGACACAATCTGAACATAGTGTATCATTTCAGTTTCATATAAAGAATGGGAAAACTCAATTATCACCCAACAAAACCAAGAAATCAACTCCCAACAATAAACCATCTAATACAGGGTATTCACCAAAATAAATGAACTGTACAATTAAACAATAGTTCAACATAATGCCTATTGCTTGAATCCTAACCAAATGTAGATATTCCAACTCCATTTAGGGAGACAACACACAACGAGTAATGGCAAATGCAAAGTAAAAATCCCACATTAGCACATTAAATAATTTAATTACAGCTAGATCCTTACTACACTCAGAGCAATGGAACAAGTATTGGAGGAGAAAATCCCACTATAATCTACCAAATGTATAGTAGAGTTTTTGATCTTCAGCGTGCCACAGATGATCGGAGTTGGATGCGGGAGTGCACGAAGGCTGGTAAATTGGAAAACCTTCTACCGATGAACAAATGAGGCCTCCAAGAATCCTTTCAATGTTCAAAGACAGGGGAAGAAGGGGATGGAAGAAGAAGCAGACGGGAGATATTTCTTCCAATGTCTGGTAAACCTCCCTTCCGACGGTGAACAACGGCTGCATCCGATGGCTAGTACAAGGGGCCTTTGAAATACCTTACAACCTTCGAAACTTTGGGATGAAAGGAGTAAATGTCTTTGTTTTTGTACAATACCTGTATATTCTTCTTGCATTTTCAGTGCTGCTCACAACTCATTACAACTCATCATTTAGCTAGTTATTAGCTTTATATTATTCTTTTATTTTATAAGGTGAGGTGGCAAGTTTGTTATTTTCTAGATCATTCTTTTTTGTCAACTTGTGTATATATGTAGAGAGAAGGACCTTTGTTTTTCATTTTTTAGCTTATGGAATAATATTTTACAGGGCTTTTCCTTCTCTTCATTCTATCTTTGCTCATGGTATCAGATCAACGATCTAAGGAGAGGTATAGAAGATTTGAAGACGAAGGATTCGTCTTGGTTTTTTGCTTGATTAAGCAATAGAACAACCTTATTGCAGCTACAGTAATGGCTAACAAACAAGAAGTTGTAGCCGAAGGAGATGAAACAGAGATTAAAACAAGCTTGAAGAAAGATCAAAACGCAGTGAATAATGGAGATCCACTTTTCCTACACAACTCAGACCATCCAGGTATGGCTTTGGTCACTGCACCTTTAACTAGTAAGAACTTTTTAGTCTGGAGTAGATCTGTTAAAATTGCTCTAGGAGCTAAAATGAAGTTGGGACTCATAGATGGGAGTTATAAGGTACCAGAAAAGGATTCACCAATTTATGATCAATGGAATAGGGTTAACTGTATGGTAACCTCCTGGATTTTAAACTCAATATCAAAGGACCTAGTAGAAGCCTTCTTATACACTTCTAATGCAAGAGAGCTTTGGTGTGAATTAGAGGAAAGGTATGGAGAGAGTAATGGACCTCTTCTCTACCAAATACAGAGGGAAATTAGTTCCATTACTCAGGGAACGATGACTGTTACACAGTATTATACTAGACTTAAGAAACTTTGGGATGAGTTAACTGTTTTAATGCCAATACCTGAATGCACATGTGGATCTGCAAAGGCAGTAGCAGATCTCACATCTTTTAATCATCTGATGCAATTTCTAATGGGGTTGAATGATATTTATGATCATAATAGAAATCAAATTTTACTAATGGATCCCTTGCCCTCAGTCAATAAAGCATACTCAATGATAACAAGGGTTGAGAAGCATATGGAGGTTAAAGTTTCTTATGTGGAACCTAATGAGAATGCAACTATGCTATGTAGAACACAAATGCCTAGGAAAGATGGAGGAAACAAGGGAAATACAAAGACAAATGAAGTGACCAAAGAAGAGAAGAAGCAACAATATTGTACTCACTGCAATACTAATGGTCATCTCAAGGAATCATGCTTCAAGCTTATTGGATATCTAGACTGGTACAAGCAACTCAGAGACCAGAAGAGAAAGAAGTCAGGGACAAGAAATGAAATAGGAGGAAAATATGCAACAAACTTGGTGGATACACCATTGGAAGTGAACAGTGAAACTACTGCAGGAAAGGGACTTGACCAAAATGCAGGGCTTGCCAATTTAATTCAGCAGGAGCTTATTAAACTGATGAAAGGGAAGATACCTGCAGCTGCAAATATGGTAAATTTTGCACATCTTGAAGACTTTGCAGGTACTGTTCTAAATCTTGAACTTAATTTTGCTTTAAATACTGTGGATTTGTTTAGATCAGGAACCTGGATAGTAGACACTGGGGTATCTAATCACATGTGCACAGACATTTCACTTATACATAAACCAACAGTTGTAAGCCACATGACACTTTTGTATCTTTCAGATGGAACCGTAAACTTAGTGAAACACACTGGAACTGTCCAATTGACCCCAAGAATCTGTCTCACAAATGTTTTGCATGTACCTAGCTTTAAATTAATCTGCTATCAGTTAGTAGAGCTGCAAAGAATGCAAACCTGAAATTTCTTTTTTTACTTACTGCAACACTAATGGTCATCTCAAGGAATCATGCTTCAAGCTTATTGGATATCCAGACTGGTACAAACAACTCAGAGACCAGAAGAGAAAGGAGTTAGGGACAAGAAATGAAATAGGAGGAAAATATGCAACAAACTTGGTGGATACACCATTGGAAGTGAACAGTGAAAGTACTGCAGGAAAGGGACTTGACCAAAATGCAGGGCTTGCCAATTCAGCAGGAGCTTATTAAACTGATGAAAGGGAAGATACCTGCAGCTGCAAATATGGTGAATTTTTCACATCTTGAAGACTTTGCAGGTACTGTTCTAAATCTTCAACTTAATTTTGCTTAAAATATTGTGGATTTGTTTAGATCAAGAACCTGGATAGTAGACACTGGGGCATCTAATCACAAGTGCACAGACATTTCACTTATACATAAACCAAYAGTTGTAAGCCACATGACACCTGTGTATCTTCCAGATGGAACCATAAACTTAGTGAAACACACTGGAACTGTCCAATTGACCCCAAGAATCTGTCTCACGAATGTTTTGCATGTACCTAGCTTTAAATTTAATCTGCTATCAGTTAGTAGTGCTGCAAAGAATGCAAAGTGAAGAGGTATTGGCAGTGGGAAAATTAGTAGGAAATCTTTATTTCCTAGATACAAAGTCTTTTCTTCCAAGCACTATACAGAAATACACCTTTCCTTCATGTAATTCTGTTTCATTACCACCTTTACCTTTGCATTGTAATGCAGTTACGAATTCAGAAATAAAGTTGAAGGACAAAGCCAACTCTATGTCACTTTKGCATAAGAGGTTTGGCCATGCTTCAGTTAATGTTTTGCAGCATTTGAAAATTCTAAATTCTTGCACTAAACAATGTTTATTGCTCTGTGATGTATGTTCCTTTTCTAAACAGCATAGATTGCCATTTCCTACTAGTCATATTCATACCAATAAACCTTTTGAATTAGTTCACTTAGACTTGTGGGGACCTTACAAACATGCATCATTGTCTGGTTCTCATTATATGTTAACAGTAGTGGATGACTATAGTAGGGCAACTTGGACTTTCTTGTTAAAACACAAGAGTCAAAATTTTCAAACTTTAGTACAATTTATCATAATGGTTGAAACTCAATTTGAAACAAAGATAAAATGTTTTCGATCAAACAATGGAACTGAGTTTTTAAGCAATGAATTTCAAAGTCTTTTACTTGAGAAAGGAATTTTACATCAAAAGTCATGTGTATATACCCCTCAACAAAATGGTGTAGTTGAAAGGAAGCATAAGCACCTATTGCAAGTTGCAAGGGCACTTATGTTTTAATCAAACTTACCAAGAAATTTTTTGGAATATTCTTTGCTTATGGCAACTTTCATAATTAATAGATTGCCCCAACTGAGATTCTTAATTGGAAGACACCTTTTGAGATTTCATATAACAAAGCACCAGAGTATCATATGTTAAAGGTTTTTGGTTGCCTCTGCTATGCAACAAATACTAAACCAGCAAAAGATAAATTTTCAACTAGAGCCTTTAAATGTGTTTTCATAGGCTATCAGCCTGGAMAAAAGGYTTACAAAGTGTATGATTTAACTTCCAAACAAGTTTTTACCTATAGGGATGTCATCTTCTTTGAAAATGTTTTCCCTTTTAAACAAGAAACAGATTCCACCTTGCCTTTGCCCATGTCAACTGCTGACAGTGAACATGTATTTGAAGAATCTGTTATTCCAGAACCAATTTCACAGCCTGAACCTTCATCACCTACACCTGATCTTACTCCTGATTTGGATTTAGAACTTACTGACCATTCAACACCAGACCAAATATCAGATGTTGAACCTGTAACTGAAATGCTACCACTTCAACCTTATCTAGACCTCCAACAAACCAGACACAGTACAAGGATTAGGAATAAGCCAACCTGRATGAAAGACTTTGTTACTAATATATGTTTTACTGATCCAACTGTTGCCAATACTTACTCACTTAGAACCACACCCACCAGTTCCAAGCACACCCCTCAGACTTTTCCTTTCATTAACTCACCACTATTTACATGTGATTACTTGTCCTTTCTAGCAAATGTTACAACTATTCAGGAACCAAAATCTTACAAAGAAGCCAGTGYTAAAGCAGAATGGGTGCAGGCAATGAACAAGGAGTTAGAGGCTTTAGAATCAAACCAAACCTGGGATTTGATGCCATTACCTGCAGGGAAGAAACCTATTGGCTCTAAATGGGTCTATAAGGTGAAACTRAAACCAGATGGGRCAGTTGACAGATGCAAGGCAAGATTGGTGGCCAAAGGGTACAATCAAGTTGCTGGGGTAGACTATTTTGATAGCTTTTCTCCAGTAGCCAAGTTGGTTACTGTCAGAATTTATTTAGATGTGGCAACTGCATTTTCTTCGCCAATTCACCAGCTAGATATAAATAACGCTTTCTTGCATGGATTTCTCAYAGAAGAAGTTTATATGTGGCCTCTAGAAGGGTATACAAAGGCTAAAGAAGGAGAAGTTTGCAAGTTAAGGAGATCTCTTTATGGCCTTAAACAGACTTCCAGAGAATGGAATTCAGAATTTTGCAAGTAATTGCAAACTTATGGTTTTCTGCAATCACAACATGATCATTGCCTTTTTACTTTGAAATCTTCCACCTATTTTCTAGATCTACTTGTGTACGTGGATGATGTTTTAATTACAGGAACTTGTGAAGAGCATATCTTAGTTGTGAAGAATTTTTTGGATACTGAATTCACCATCAAAGATCTTGGTTTTGCAAGATACTTCTTGGGAWTTGAGATTGCATGCAGTGATACTGACACTTATATTAATCAGAGAAAGTATGCCTTAGATATTGTTACAGATGTTGGATTATTGGGTGCCAAGACTACTGCAAGTCCTCTACCTAAAGGCGATAAATTCTCTTCTCAAGCAGGAGATCTTTTACTTGATCCTGACAAATATCGCAGATTGGTGGGAAGATTTTTGTATTTGAATCTTACTCAACCGGATTTGATTTATGCAGTTCAACAATTAAGTCAATTCGTTAATTTACCCTGCAAAAGCCACTAGGAAGCAGCTCTACATGTTGTTAAATACTTAAAGGGGACACTCAGTAAGGGTCTTTATTTTCCTATCCAGAATTCCTTCAAGTTACAAGCATTCAATGATGCTGACTAGGCTTCCTGCATTGACACTTGTCGTTCACTCACTGGATTCTGTATTTATCTTGGTCACTCTCTTATCTCATGGAAATAAAAAAAAATAAACCACAATGTCACGTTTTTCAGCAGAGGCTGAATACCGCAACATGGCTTCCACAGTCTGTGAGTTGGAATGGATAACTTATATTCTAAACGATTTGCCAATTCCACTGCACCTTCCCATTCCTTTGTGGTGTACCAATCAGGCCGCCTTTCATATCAGGAATTTGTTCGTCCTCAGTACATTTCTACTAAACAGCAAGTGGCAGACATATTTACCAAAGCTTTAGCTCCTCCTCAATTTCATTTGATGCTGTCCAAGTTGGGCMTGATGGATTTCCATCATAGTCCAACTTGAGGGGGGGATGTACAATACCTGTATATTCTTCGTGCATATTCAGTGCTGCTCACAGCTCATTATAGCTCATCATTTAGCTAGTTATTATCTTTATACTATTTTTTTTTTATTTTATAAGGTGAGGTGGCAAGTTTGTTAGAGAGTTTGCTATTTTCTAGATCATTTTTTTTTTGTCAGCTTGTGTATATATGTAGAGAGAAGGACCTTCGTTTTTCATTTTTTTAGCTTCTGGAATAATATTTTACAAGCTTTTCCTTCTCTTCATTCTATCTTTGCTCAGTTGGGTAAATCGAGCTTCCTTTGGCCCGTCCGGTCGAAATGGGATGGCCAGTACAAGGGCCTCTGAGAAACCTTCCACCTTCGAAATTTTGGAATGAAAGGACCGAATCAATGTCTTCGTTTTCTTTGAACGGCGGGTAAATCGACCTTCCTCGGAGAGGAGGGCGAATGTATTCGAACAGAGCTTCCACGCCGAGAGTTCAATGGCCAGATTAATTTCGAATAGAGCTTCCAGGGGTAACGGATATAATGACAATATTTAAATGCTGACGTGGGGAAAGAGCTGAAACAAAATGAACTTTGTTGGCTGGGGAAATTTCGATATCTGAGGGGGAGCTGACTGAAGAAAAGAAACCCCTAAAAAGAACGACCCCGTTTGACTAATATACACAAATTGACAATTTTGCCATCAGCGACCTTTCATATTTATATATACATGTCACTCTCAGAGTTCATTCGATGGGCAAGCCAAAGCCAAAACAGTAGAAAAATTCAAACCGTTTCATCGCCATACCATGTTCGGGCCAAAACAAGTGAAGATCAAAACCACAGAGTCTGAAATTTGCATACCAAACAAGCAACCAAAACTCAGCTATAAATAGCCCTCCACCCCCCTCCTCCCCTTGAAAGTTGAACCAGCCCATCTCATTCATCCCAGACTCAAGTTGTCCTAGTCGCTCTGTTCACCCAACTCACTCAAATCCCATTTATTTCTATCTTCGTCTTCCCGTCCGACCACCGTCACCTCCTGTTAATCGTTGTCTGATCGCCCTCCTGCTGTACTGCTCGCCCTTCTAACTTTTCTTAAACCTCGATCGTCCCAGCAGTTCGGTCCCCGCAAGCCTACCGGCCGGGGGACGCATCAGACTCCTCCCTTGTCATTTTCGATCAAATTAGCGATCGATGTAGCAGCAGGAGAGAGAGTTAAACTCATGGTCCAGGCCATCAACATTATCAACTAATCTGACTGCCGTCAACCCAAGTCGTCCATGTCGACTGTCAATCTGACCGACCTTCCGTCCAAGTCGGTCTAAGCCTGAAGCGGTGTATTCTCTTCGATCAAAAGGCGATATTGAGGAGGTAAAAACTAAAAATAACCTCACTCAGTCCCTCGTTGTTCGTTTTCCCATGATTTTTGACTAGTGGTTAGTTATTAATTACTATTGACGATTCATTTTTTTTTTCTTTTTTCTTGAACGATCGAGTCTTCTCTCTTTTTTTGTGTTACTCTCACGTTATCTTTGTCTCCATCTATTATTATTCTGTGTTTTTGCAGTTATTTTGTGCTAGATTTTCGGGTATTTGATTTCGTGGGCGTTTATTCAATAAAAGCTGTCACTTAGGCATGCCGTTCTCCTCTCTTGCTCTTTTTTATGCATCGAGAATGATA